AAAAAAAAAGGTCACAAGTAATTTAAGTATTTAAAAATACACTTTAAAATAGTATCAATAAAATTGAAAATATTTTAGCAAGACAATTTTTAAAGTTTTAAGTGTTTAGACTAAAATTGTTATGGAAAACCGATGTTTCTTACAGGTACATTAAATTTAAAAAACTTATTTATCATTGGATAATATATTTTATTTCATACATCTAATAAATGTTGAGTACATAAATCATTTGTTCATAATACAAGGGTTATAAAACTAAACATTAAACAACCAGTACAAAAAATAAAACAATTTTAAGGTAAAGATCAGGATTTTTAGTAGTACCTAAAAGTGTATAATAATAATAATACTTTGTTACTGTAATAAAGAATATAAGATTTAAACAATTTCATTCATGGATAAAATATACTTAAATTATTTTTTGGAAATACAATTTCATAAACCTTTAATATCATAATAATGCCATACTAAAATAATGTTTAGTAAAATGATTTGTTAATAAATTTAAATATAAATAAATATCAACACAATTGCAGACAATAAAATTCAATCAAAACTATTTAAATATGCAATAACTGAGATCCAACACACTATTATACTATCATTCATTGGTAAAACAATTTACAATCTTAATATAATTATACTCGAACATAATAACAATTAAAAGTGCAAWTGAGTAAAATGACACAATATTTGTGAATATATTATATATCTTATATTATAATTATTTTTTGAATAATAATCGTTACTGATGTACTAATAAATATTTAAAAGCATAAAATTATGAGAGAGACWGCAAGATAAAATATATTAAAACTAATTTTTTTTCTTCTAATTTTGTCATTCAGAAATTACTATTTCCACCTCGACGGCGACTATTGTTTAAAGGACTTCGTTCTCTGCGATGCCTACTATTGCTTTCAGCGCTGTCATCATCATAATAATCAGACAAGAACATAGACTCTGATCCAGTTCCTATTGATCCATCAAAGTCCATGGGATAAGAAGAACTAAAGTATAACAAATAACATAAAAATTAATTCATCATAAACAGTCAAGAATTATATACCAATATACATAAATACAATTTAATCTGAGAAGTAATAAATTCAGTGAGTAAATAAAATGAATACATGTYTTTACCGACTTCACTCACATTATTTTTTTTTATATAAAAATAAAAATCAATATCAAGAAAAAATTATATTAAACTTAAATTTTCTCAGTTTAAATTATAATTATAATYTCTGAAACTTGCCTAATAATGCGACGGCAAGTAAAAAATAAAATTCTTTTGAGTTTTTTGTTGTAAAAGAAATAGTTGAATGACCACAGGCACCCATCTTCACTAAATGGATCTGATCGCATGTCAGGTGTATAGCTGTAAGTGACACATAATGAATATAGAATTCGTCTACAATTAGGATGTAGTAAGGTTATTACCTATAAATATCACATTGTGACATGCCAATTTCTTTGTCGATTACTTCCCAGAGTTTATCACGTAACTGTGAGTAGTTTTTGGGAGCTGTATTACTCTGTAGATGATTCATCATAATAATCTGGTTAGATGCAACACATGATGTTGCTGTGTTAGGTTCTACAATGACTGCTGATAAATTATTATCCACATCTCTCATGACCCACTAAAAATCATTAAAAATAATAAATAATTGAATCTGGAAACTTTTTTATGAACAACAGTTTTTTTCACTATTAAATTTAAAGCAACTAAATAATAAAAAATTGTTTTTATTTTTGCAGCTGAAAATTTATAACTTCGATTTTTTTTTTTGTTACCTTAAATTATCAATAGTCAATTCATTATTTATCACAATAAATATAAGGTATCTAATTGTGCATGGATAATTCTATTTACGTCTTTGGGTATAATCTTTAGAATTTTAGAATTTTTAATTATTTTAAATAAAAATTCACTATCATAATTTTAATAATACATTTAATTATGATCTTTATCSCTATCATAATTTGATTATCATGAATCAATTTTTTACAATTCTTTAAGTAAAATGGTTAGATATTCAAAAATTCAATGAGTTAAGAATAATAATTATTTGGTCAGAAAATTGACCATTAATGCTTTAGGCAATTAAAAATGATTTGTACCAAAAATTAGGTACAATTAATAATATGATTTTACTGCTTAGACTTATAGCAAGAAGTTGATTTTTGCTAAAAGTTAAGTGTAATTAAGATGATTTTCAACTAGAGAAATTTATAGTAAGAATAATTGTTTTTATACATGTAATATTTAAAATAATTTTATCATAGCTTCAAGATTATTTGAAAACAAGATGAGAATACTCAGAAATTTAATAGCATAAAATAAAAAGTATTTCTAGGCTAAAAATTTAATAAAAATGAATGTGTAATAAAAATGTTTTGTAATAATTCTGGATGTAATAAATAATGTATTGTAAAAAACTTAAAAGCATAGAAATGTAAGATAAAAAATTATACCATAGTCAACTATTAACATTTGTATAGTATACTATAAAAGTTGTACACGAATAATATACTTAACACTTTAAATTTKTAGGTAATTACAAAATTTCTTACATTTTAGTGTCTTTTTTTATAATTATTTCTTCTGAATACGTTACAAACATAATATTTATTAACTATAATTAACCTGCAAACTACGTTCTTTACTAAATTCTGATGATTTGGCATCTGTGAAATCATAGTCTGGTGCAAATGTGGCATTAAGTGTTGCAATCAAGTAAAATAAAGATTTACGTGATATTGTATCACATAACAAGACTTCTTCATCTCCAGATACACTTAGACTGTAAACATACATATCATAGATTAAATTTA